AATGTTCCATGTACACTACCTTTATTGAAGTTTCACTAAATACTATGCAGGTTCTGCAATCTGTTCCTCCTGAAATATCTGATGTGCAGATGCCTCCTACTGTCAAACTGGAAATACTGCAACCTGAAAAAAACTAAATCTGATCCTTGAAAGTCTCTACATCTAAGATCACTTATTCCTTATTGATTTTTTCCTTTTCCATAGACAAAGTTGATACTGGTGACAGAAATGTTTGTTAAATATACTGGTCTCCTATATCATAAGCTTTCTAACTTAGACTCAAGTAGTTGAAATTTTGTGTATGTAACCTTAATTAAAGAGCTGTTAGAGTAATTAAAGTGGTGTTCTTAAACCCTGAGGCAAGTTACACATTGCTTTGGGAAGCCACCATAAAAGAATAAAAAGCCCATAATTTTACTGGAGTTCTCCTGGGCAATGAAGCTGCAGACAGCAGCTTGACACCAGCCATCAACTATTAGTTTCAAAGCAATGCTAAACCTGAGTGACAGCCCCTAAACATCATCATTTCTTACATTACTATTAAGTGGCTAAAACAGCAAGGGTTAAGGAAACCTAAAGGAAATATGAGCTGGTCATTGCTAAACAGATGGCGGGGGGGGGAGAAAGTCAAGGATTGAGAAACACATGACAAAGATGTGTTGCAGTATGTAATTAAAGCAATTAGACAATAACTGATTACTTCTGAAAGTATTTTCTTGACCTCTACCATCTCCCAGTAATCTCACTGGAACTTGCTGCTAACCAAACACTGAAGCACTGAACTGATCTGGGGGCAGACTCTTCCTTTTACAAATTCCATCTTCACCAATACATGTATACACTCCGCAGTAAACTAGGCATAAATAGATGGAAGATTTACCATATCAATCACATTCCCCAGGCCTTAGCATTCCCTATAACCCATGGCAGTACCAAATGAAGAAACTGTGTGCAACGCACAGACTATGGGCATCACAGCTGTTCCAGCCCGGCTGTTCCAAAGTCCCCTGCACTTCAGAAATAGCAGTCTTCTAAAATACTAAAAAGCACTTAAGCACACATTGTAGAGCAAAGCCAGCCTGTATAAGGTTTTAAATGACCTGATGTTTCTTAGATTTGATCACCTGGTGCTGAGTAAAACATGCTCTAAGTTCAGAACATACTGACTACTTCTTAACAACTGCAGGGTAAACATGCATTTGGGCAGATACAACACTTGAGCATATAGCAGAGCTCGCAACAGCTCAGTTCAGAAGCTAAGCCCCCTCTGCAGCTGGGGGGACAACTTTTGTCAACTCACCACACTTTAGATACCTGGGCAAACAACAAGACCCCTTCTGCCACACCCCCACACATGGTATACACTAAGCAGACCTAAATGTGGAATAGCTTATCTTTTGCTCAGTGTGCTCTGCCTTGCTCTGATTTTCCTACAAAAGCTGAGACGCAGGCAGAAGATTACTAGGTCTGAGCAGAAGTTTAACAGGAGGATTTAAAGAGCGATGGGACAATCTTGACCAACATGCCACGCAGACAAACTTCCAACTCGTCTTGATAGCATATAGAAGTAAAACTTACTATTTCCAGTAGACAGATTTATGTTCCCTTTAGGTAAGCATTAGCAATTAGAAGTCATTACTTCAACACCCTCTTGAAAACTTGCAAGGAACCAGTGCATCTCAAACAGAAACGAGCGGTTGAGAAATTAAACTGAAGGTGTGGTACCAACTTCTGACCTGTACAAGTCTTGGATTGGAGGAGGCTACATCTGCACAGAATGAAGGAGGAAGTGCTTTAGAGCTGAGTCTGCTTACTCCAACATCTGTGCAGCTCTAGCCCTACCCTGATAGGCCATCAATGCTGTTACATACAGCAAAGCCTTCATTATCAGGCCACCCCCTCTGTACCAAGTTTAGCATTTTGTTTCCTTAAGCCACTGAGAATGCCACAGCACAACCCTCCTGCCCAACACAGGGTATCTGGGACACAACTGCTGCAGAGATACCTTTGGAAATAGGAGATCTCCGGCAGACAAGCTAATCATCTATTTGTATATAAATTCCTTATCAATTTCTGAATCAGGTCTACAACAGTGGGCCTGAAAACACAGGGAAACTAAGTACCAGCTTGAAGGCAAAGATGAACAAATACCATTCCTACAGTTTTCTGCTAGGTTTGTTTGGGTTTTTTCATTTAACAAGTAACAAAATGTCAAATTACAGTATCTGCTATATAGCTTGGGAAATATCAGTTCCAAGAATCCAACTAAGAATCTGAGCTTATGAAGCTCATTAGCTGCAGGAGACATTGCTAAGACATGTTGCTATGCCTAGTGTTTAAATAATCCAAGGCAGCATTTCTAACTGCACCTGACATCACCCTTCTCCAGAAAGTAAAGCTTAAGAATGCTAAGCTTAAATCCGTATCCTGAAATATAGTAGACAAGATTTCATTAACATTAACAAAGTTATACCAGAAAGGGAAACTCTTCAGTGCTAATGTAATCTAATCAACATTTGCTAAAAGCATAGGATTACCAAGAAGCATCCCTCTCCATCGAGCATAAGCTCTGAGCACCCTTCCCCCTTATCCAGTCTCAATTAATTCTCCTAGCTCTTTCTTCACCAACCCCCCATTTTTCCCCTGAGATAATTCTCCCTTCAACACAGCAACCAGAACTGGACAGAAGACACCATTTACGCCGATCTTAAATTTTGGTGCAGTGCTGCAACAACTGACCAAGAAACCTTACTTCACTGACATTTTCCTAGCCTGAACTTGTTAACAAGGTAACTTCTCCTCCTCAAGTATTAAGTGAGGTGTTTCTCTACAGCTGGTATAAATCAATGAGAAGTGAAAAGAATGAGTCACAATACTCCAGTCAATGGTGAAAGTTTAATGTTCCTGCTACATACTGCCTTTCAGAATTGCTAAACAAAAGCGTAATTGATCACAAAACTACGTTAAGCACCAAAACAGTTTTTATTTAACCGATGCCATAAGAACTGGCACCTCAAATTTGTATGATTATATCCTTCCTTTTGCAGCAGTATGGAGAACACAAGAACTGCTGATTTAGAACTCGCAAATCATTCTAGAGAGAAGTTTACCAGAAATCTGTTGACAGAAATGGATTCATGGTTCTGGATCTTGCAGGCTGCAGATGAGTTTTGATATCTACCAACTCCTCTTTTCAAATATTGTATCCCATTGTATGACATGAATATATTAAATGAGAAAGCAATTGAAACACAAGCCAAATTTAAGAACAGTAACTTCTGAAATTCATCAGACAACTTTTAACAGGGTTTTCTCTTTTTAAGATAACAGTTGCCAGATGCTGTTAGTAAAAATGGGCTAGATCCAAGTAAGGACTTTAGAGACTTCTCATGTCCAAAAGTATGAGCCACAAAGCCCTGTATTAATGACTGCTCATGCTCATAACATACCATCAGTTTGGTCTCCACATCCCCTGAAGTTTAAGTTTAAACTCAACCCTGGGAGACATTCAGAGAAGAGACCAAGTGAAACCCCAACATCTGACCAGGGTCAGTGCCTCGAAGGATAAGCATATTCTGTCAGGATTTATATCACAAGAACACAACCACATCTACTTTAACACACAGTTACCGGAGAATGTGATGTTAACCTTTCATTACTGTATTTTTCTATGCTATGATCTATGTGTTACCTAAAAAACACGTAAGAGCACAGCTTTGACAGTACTGTTTAATATACAGCTATAGATAACAAGAGCTGCTTCTCTCACATCCATAAATATCTAGAGAGGAGAAAGATTAAACCTGACAGGGATTCTGAAGTGAAGCAGTGTGGTATTTAAACCTTCAAAGAATTAAAAAAAATTAAAAATCAGTTTAGTCAGAGCACACTAGACCTTCCTCTCAGGGGAGCTGAGGATTCAAAGGGGGCTTGGGATAAGCTTCATTCTATGTTACTTACCCTCCAAACAACAGGCATGATAGAGAAACTCTCCCACCAGTCCCATCCTCATGTGGCCATTGCCTCATGCTTGCCCTGCTCTTTTCAAACCTTTAAGCTTTTATGGCTAAGTCAGTATATCAGTGGCAAGAAAAAAAAAAGGAAAAAATAGTAGCTACTGCAGAAATAGATCCATGGCTAGCTGGACATACCTTTATAACCCTACAAAGGCCTTTCCATCCCTAAAAAAAAAAAAGTTATCTGGGTACCTGGCTTACAAGATCAGAACTTCTACAATTATATGAAGGACAAAACTGCAGAGTACAGTAGCATCTTACTGAAAAAACTCAAATGGAAGATATCAGTTTATAGTCTTTTCAAGCTGAGTGCACTCAATTCCACATCTCAAGAGCACCTCCACTGCTAGGCTAGAGGCAAGGTTAGTACAAGAAAGATCTCCTAGCCCATATGTTTCACCTGACAATGAGCATCCAATATGGACAAAGTATAAGCCAGAACATGCAAACATGAGCATAGCGAACAGAACATTAAGTGAGGAGAGAGAAATTCCTCGGGGTTTGTTTCCTCCTCTGTAGATGATACAGTGAGTACAAACTAGAGTAAAGCTAAGTGTTCTAGCTCTCCCCTAAGCTGCAGGGCAGATTTTGTTCAGGACAACCTAGCTCTGTCTATGCAGACTGGAAAACCAAGGCACCTTTCCTGGCTCCAGATTTCATACTAATAACCAATGCTTTAGAGTCAGGCACAGCAATACCAAAGTCCTTTATCAGATCTAGCCCCACTTCTAAAACCTTGTCTTCTCCAAAATGGCAGTGTTGACCTATCACCAAAACATCTATCTCAGAATCACAATAATCTCACTGCAAGTAGAAAGTATGGATCAAACTTTCCAAACTAATTGTGTGTGTTTTTTAAAGTGTTATACAATTTACTTTTCAGTAACTCTCAACTTTTGTTTCTAGTAAAAAGTGAACTGCAGCATGAAAGATATGCCTTACCAGTTTACACATGCAGATACACACATCATAATAAAACAAGACTAGCTTCTGAAAATACTAGGTTTTATTCACACCCCAGTGGTAAACAATAACCTTAATATGATGACTAGGTTTCTTCTGTAGATCACTATGTCACATAAAATACAAAACCCATAGCATAAACAAGCTGACAGTTATGAATGTTTAATGTGGTCTCGTTGGAAATTAAACAAGTTATACTAGTCTTCTCAAGTAGTCAAATTCAAAATGCATCATCATCTCCTAGTTAGTACAAGTCACTGCCATTTCTATAACAAAGTAATGAAGGCACAGCTAGTGCAAGCAGACTTAAACCCGTTCAGACTACTGGGCTGAAAAATACTTTGGTTGGTTCTTCAGGAGAGAGTTTTCTCTAAACAAATATTGGTCTCAGTTAACAGTTCTGATAATCTTCACAGCTGCAGTCTAATAGCTACATGACAAAGACTTCACAAGAACCAAACTATGTAGCAATGAATTAACATTCATGCTTTAAGGGATTTACTGCATTCTACATATTGGCAGAAAATTATACTGTTAAAATGCTAGGTAGATTGAACCTACATTTTAAACTGGTTCTTATGTGTTTGATTTTTTTTTTTTTAACAAATTGGTTACTTAATTCTACCAAGATACAAAACATAAGGCTGTAAGTAACTAATAGTTGTGTTTAGGCTATTACAGTGCAGGTAATCCTCAAGGCCACATACACACTGCTTCACTGCTGCTTGCATTCTGCTGGGTTTTGATCCTTCTGTTGAGAAAAAAGAAAGTATCAGTTTACAGATATCAATGTTTCAAAAAAACTATTAATATCGCTAAATATACTTTCTCAAGTTCCAATATTCAAGTTCTTTCATCTTTTCCCTTAACCTAATTGCCTAGTATTAGTAATACGGCTGTTTTTGGATGTGACAACATCCACAATGCATTTATTTTGGCTTAATTAGTGCATATATATGCACTATATATCATGTATATGATCCAGAACAAAAAATCTGTTCAGAACTAAGTGTGGTGGGATACTCTGAAAAACACTAAAACTGGAAAAAGGAGGAGGAGACTTATGGGTAGTAACAAACAACTCAGCTCAGAATAAGCATCCCGTTCTTCTGCACTGAGGCATAAGAAACTTCCTATGCTAACAAGGGCCCGGCCTTACTCCAGAAGCCACTGCAGAGCAAGGCAATGGAACACTAAATCATGGTAAGTTCTTACCATTCTGGAAACATCTTTTGCAATAATTTCCAGTTGTGAGAAAAGTCTAATGTGGAAAATTCCTTCTGTTATATTGAAACAGACAACCAACAATATCTCACTGTAATATGGGAATGTAAGGAAAAGGCTTTTTGGGTGCAGAGTTCAGTTGCAAGTTTTACTCCATTACCTTGGTCTGGATAGCTATTCTAGGACCACAGTGCTTTAATAAATTCAGTTGACTTTCAGCCTGTGATCAGCTTACAACTATTTATTCTTATGTCAATACACTATAGTACCACTACTGTCTCTAGCCCTTCGGCAGTTCTGTGAAACTCAGCATACAGTCTTGCCCTTTCTCAGTTCTGTTTAGCCTAGAAAAGCAATCTGAAATGGTAGAAATAAGAAGCCCATCTTGCAGCTGTTTCATTTCCATTCCAAGACATCCTTGAATAGGAAGCAATTTGAATACACTATAGCAGGTGAAACATTACCAACAGGTTGTACATTTTGATTAGTAGTTCTATACCCTACATCTTTCTAGATACAGGGCTAAGAGTATGTAAACTCTTTCAATAGTACTTTGATTGTAGCTCAAACTATTCCTACTGAAAAATGTTGCCTCCTCATTTGAAATTGAAAGCACATTTTGCAGCAGACATTTGGAGTTCACAGAATTCATTTTCATGACTGCAACTTTCACCTACCACCATTAGATGCTTTCAGGTGGCCAAACGTGCCTTTCCCCCAGCTAGGAAAAAGCTATGGAGTTGCTCAGAACCACTTTTCCAGCAAAGTGAGCCTGAGTAGTCATTTGCCCTTCCCATGGAATAAGAAAGCTGCCAGTTGCTCTTGGCTGTTCACATTTTAGTACTTGGCTGTAGATGTATTCCTGGACTTTGACTTCTGCTACCTCAAGCAATAAAAGACTTGCTATTATCTACCCTGAAAAAAGCCTCTGTTTTGTACTGCTGGGAAAATCCGTGCCAGAGTCAGTTTGTGACAAGTTCCCCAAAACTGAGCCTGGATTACAAACCAATATAGAACATTTTTATCATTAGCAGCAACTTGCTACAAGACAAGTTTATAAAAAAACAAGCCTGACTAAATTCAGTGCTCAAAGCCAAAAGTTGCTTTTACAAAATAATTCATGGAGAAAGAACTTTTTTTAAAAGTTGCTCTAGCAATATTTAGTCTGTCAGAACTGGGACTGAAACAGCCTCAGCCAAAACATACTCACCATAGGAACTATTGATTAAATACTTTAACTAAAAATCAAGATTTAACCTACATAGAATTTTAAGTGTGTGTATGCATATACGAACTTCAAACATTCTTTTTAATTCCTTACTTTTGGGTCATAGTCAGGATCATTTTCTTCATCTGCTTCTTCTTCCCCCTCCTAAAAGAAAATACCTGTTTATATTTCTCCAGCTTATCCACATTCAGCTTCCCAAGACATTTTTGAGAAGTTTAAGACTAAATTCTACTCAAATAAATTCATTACCACTTTAAGTTATGCATATCATATTAGTTTACCCTACACAAAGCATATAAACTTTTGACATCAACTGCAGCTTAATTTGTACCTTAGGTTTGTCTCGGGTTTTGGTTTTTTTAAATAATCACCCTAGATCCACAAAACAATGTGTTGTATCTTCCATTCATAAGTAATACTTAAAACTTAATGTCTGGAACATTCAAAAACTAAAGGAACTCTTATTCCAGATAAAATACAAATGGGAAACCACTTGAATTCAGGCCATCTGTCAACTTACCTCATCATCTGCCTCTTCACCTTCTTCATCGTACTAGGAAAGAAAATAAATGGTTTTGATAGTGTCATAAATGCAGCCATTTATGGCTCAAGTACAGCTAGATAACTCAGTCAGCAGCCACACTGTATTGTGCTCTAAGAGAGCTTCCTATACTTAAAAGATTTAAAAGTGCTTTATGCATCAGCATGAACAACGTCCAATCTCTTAAGCTACTCCCTGGCAGAGAAAAGTGTCTATCTTAAGTTCCTTACGTGCAGCACTAGAAGAGCTTATCAGAACTGTGATAACACTTGTGGCCAGTAGGCTGTCCCAACACCTAAGGCAAGCTGTACAGCCAGTCACTTTCCTCTTCCGCCAGCCAAGGCTTTGGACTAAGCGCTACCACCTTACATTCTATAAATTAATTCTAAGGCAGGACTTATCTTTTGCTAAATCAAACTGTCAAACTGTCCTTCTTTGTGCAGAGGCAGGAGAGAGAAGATACTTTACACATCTAAAATTCTAGGGGTTTGTGGTTTCTTTTTCAAGCTTAGCTCCTTTAAAGCACTTCATTCAAGCTTTTGCAGAGCTTGCTTTGAATATCTTGGCATGCTTTGAATGTGCTTATCTATCATTTTATAAGAGTGCCCTTCTAAAAGGATCAGGCTTGAATCTCAAGGAACTTGGTAGCCTAGTGTCACTGTAAGCACAAACACCACACTGAGCAGCTAGACCAATCTGTTCTCTGGCAGCTCATTATAGTTCTACCAAAGTATTGGGTACACCAGCCTAGGAATGCCTTATACACAAAATTCAACTCTGACTCTAAATGTTCAGCTTCTACCACTACTTTTGCCACAAAACTCTGAAGTCACTACTTCAAAGAAATTACCTTTGTGCCACCCTTTACTGAACACTCTAGGAAGCTCAGCTGAAACTGAAACTAATGTTGATAGATCCCATTCTAAGAATACCAACATTATAAAAGTCAGAAGTTACCCCAAGTCTTTAAACAACATTATTTCAAAGTTTTTAGCATTTTGGAAGAGCATTACACTTACATCATCATCATCATCTTCAATAGCTTCTCCCGTGAAGTACAATACTGATCGGGGGACTATACGTTCACGCAAGAAATGACCTATTTCAAAGTCTGCAGCAAGGATTGCCTCAGCATCATCATCCTGCATAAAACAACATTATTTCCTAAATCGCAAGCTGATAACTGTTTTTGACACAAAAACACAAGCTGCACAGATTTTGATGTGGCCAAATTTATACAAATCTGATGTACTGACATTTTTGGTTCAGTATTTGCTTTACCGATTTGAAATTGTGGAGTCAAGTTTTACACTTTTAACAGCCTACCTGCATTATGCAGTGGGGGTGTGTGCTTCTTCAGTAAGCTTAATTACACAAAATTCTGGAGTTTAAGTTTTATTCTTCCCCTACCAACAACTTTTGTTCTAAGTAGAAAAATTGTTTAATACCTGCCATAGAGTTTCAGTTCACATGCACAATACTCTTAAGAGCCAAACACTAGCCAGGTGAGCCTATCTAATTAAAGATTTTACAAGCTACTTCTCATTCCTGCAGTGTATTGCCTCCATGATTCCCATTAAACAAGCCATTGTGAAGCACCTGAACACCTAAAAAAGCTCTCCAATCCAAGCCCAGGTTTTCACTCCTTTTGTTTACACACATATTCTGCTGTCTCCCACCTGACAAGTTATCGAATTGAACATTATGAACATACAGCTTTTGGTGTCCATGCCAACCGGAGTTCTAACCACATGCTTCTACAGGCTTTAAATCAGATTTCTCACTCAAGTTGCAGGATGTATTCAGTACTGTTGGGTTTTTTTCGTAGTTTTCCTCTCTATGAAAAGATGGCTTATTGCCTCAGTTTTCTACTAGTGAGCAGACAAAAGAGGGCTCTTGCAGTTTTCTACTCTTGATTTATTATTTTTTCCAAGAGTTAATAGCTTGGGAAATTTTTAACAGCATGAAATAGAAACCAGATACATGCAGCCATTAGAGATGATCATCCAAACAATGCCCGAAGGGAGAGACTTACACTACCTATTAGACTAAAGGCTAATAAAGATCACTATATTTGTACAACTGCTAACAATTTTCAAGGTAGCTTTCAGGAAGGATTAGCTGTTAAAGTTTACTAAACTGAACTCTACCATCCAACTCAATAAGCAGTCCTACTAAAGACAACTCAAATACATACTATCCATCACAAGTATTAAATACAGAAACAGCTGAAGCTGTTTAACAAATTCCCAAATAATTTAAGCACACACTTTGTACAACACGCTGTTATTTTAAATAAGCCAACTTACCAGGTCTCCACTTTCAGGAACTGTAGAAAAAAAGAGAAGAAACAAGTAAGTGAAGTACATACTACACTTGAAGTTAATGCAGATAAACCACTGTTCAGTTTACCTTCAGGAGGACTAAAGAAGTTAAAGAAGGAGTCATTAGAAACTGTTTTTGTCACTGTTCTAACTGTTCCACGACCCTTATGTTTCTGCTTCTTCTTAATGGTTTTCAAAGTAACATTCTTTCCTTTTTTCCAGTCTATTTGGCAACTGGAAAAAGAAAAAAAAAAATCAGCTGCATTAATACCATTTGCCTTGTTACAGGTATATACTGAAACTATCACAACAGCAAGGGATGCAGTGAATATAAAGTATTAAGGTAGTATTTATTCAGTTGCTATCTTTTCATTAGTTTATACTTTTGAGAACAAAAGTAACAGGCTCATTTTAGGACTGAAGTTTTTTTCATCCAAAGATTTCTCCTTCCCCACTCTCTCTCTGAAATACTAATTTTCATTTGCTGCTGAGTTCTACCTAGTTTCCTATCAAAGAATGGTGTCACATAATTTTCAGTGCTACCTATCCATTATCAAGTATTGCCATATCCAGTCATGCTAGTAATATGCCAAGGTTTTCCACATCTATCATTGTAATCAATAAGCCCTTAAAATAATGCAAGCAGGTGTGTAGTTTTTGGTTGGGTTTTAGTTGTTTGTTTGGGTTTTTTTCCATTTTGGGGGTATTTTTGTTTGTTTTAACTCTATTCTGCTAAATCATGCCCACAGACTTGTCTGACACACACAGAATTCTGGGGATGTGTTGGGTTTGCGTGGCAAGGTTTTG